TGAAAGCCCTATGAAGCGGTATATAAGTCTAACTGCTATTGCTATTGCTATTGGTTTTTCTAAATAATAGATTTAAATTAATTTTTTCAATCTTAAATTTTAATTAGGTTTTTAATCTTTTAATTTGTTATAATATGTAAAAGAAAAGCCCATGAAAACATACCATTCTTGTATATTAAACCAAACTAATCTTACATATTTGTATGCAGTCCAATAAAACTACTAATAACTCGAGTGAGTTTATTTAATTAAAGATAAAAATAAGAGGCAAAATGAAAACTGGTAAATACAGGTTAAAATTACTAGCTAGCTCTTCATATGGATCCCCAACAATGCCTGAATTAAATATCTAGCGTCAACTGGCTCAACTATCTCACCTGGTAAAAATTTATTTTTAGGGAGGAAAATTATGTAACTTTTCTATCTTTGTAACACAAATAAATTATATATTGTTTTAAAACTGACATCTTTAGAAAGTCTATTAAATATTTTTAAATAAACATTTAATTTACAGGTTAAATATACTCAAGGAGGGCTTGAGAATCTTGAGCTTTCCCGAAAATATTTTGCACAGGCATTGAAACTGAATAACCGAAACATGAGAGCATTGTTTGGTCTTTACATGGTAAGTCCAGAAAGCACTATTTTTGTTCAAAAATGATTTGCCTTGTTATTTAATTTGGAAAAGGAAGGTAGAAGAGTTGACCTTTTCCAAAATTACTAATAGAAAAGAAGAAAGATTTTTAAGATCTATTGTGAAAAGGCCTGGATTGGCTCAGTTCTTCTCTACTAATATGTAGATTTACTTAGCATTAGCAGCATTTGTATTTTCTATGCATTTTGTTATTTGGTCAGAATCAACATTGATTGTGGTGATGCCATAATCACACTATAAAATTTAAAGTGAAACTTAAGAGTTACATTTGTTAATTTATTCTATAATACAGTATATGAAGATTGTCTGATAAATTAGTTTGCCTTAAACTAATCTGTTGGAAAGATGACTTTGAATAGCTTTGACTTCAAATATCTTTTAAGCTATGAAACAGCTAACCTAATTTGCATGAATATATATTCTCTTTAAAAACACATGAATCCTGTTGCATTGTAATAATGCAGTGGGTATAAACAGTGAAATAGATTTATACTTGTGATGTTGTTTACAAGTACTCCTTGACTTATCACNTCTGAACTTGGTTGTTGTTTTGCAGACATTTCACTACTCAAAACTAGAGAACCTCAATAGTGCACTGCTGATGTCACCTAGTTTGAGTTGTGAAACGTCTGCAAGAAAACAACCAAGCTCAGCGAGCACCAAAGACCCCTGGAATCAGTATTGCCAATTTTTCATTGACTCCTCCCCAAGACAGATTACAAGAAGTAGCACAGAAAAACTTGTGAATTTTGGGGGTTCAGTAAATGCAACACAAGGGGTTAAGGATGTATTGAGGTCTACAAATGAAATTCAGTTCTGATTACTGTAGATCTTAGTTATCAAGTTGCCTTAAACAAGCAAGCAAGGCTTTTGGTGGGTTTGTTATATAAGCAGTTCCTTTGTTTGCATTTGTTTTTTAGGTGTGGTTTTATAGGATAGACTGCAGTCTGATTTTGTAATAAAAGTTGTGGCTTTTGTTCAGTTTTTTTCTTTCAAAATGTGGGTTTGGAACACATGTTTGGTAGTAAATCTGAAGCAACTAAGCATGGACTCTCTCTTGCTATCGTATGTTAGAAGTCAATTGCCCCAGATTTTGAAAGCTTGCAGAAGTTGGGTATATTTTATAAAAAGCATGTGTTTGAAAGATGTCTCTATAAATCTTTAAAATACATGAGTTTAGTGACATTATTGATCATATTTAGCTTACAGGAATAAACTACTATAATGAAGCATCACTTAAAACTACATTGTATATGAAAGCACTATGTACTAAAAAGTACTTTTCATTTTTTTATAACTTTGAGAATTGAGAAATTTGGTACTTACAATTCTGAAAAAATTCTCTTCCTTTAGAAGAATCCAATCCAATCTTATCCAGTTTGTGAATTCTTAGTCACAGAAATTTCTTTCTCACTTAAATTGCATTTAACACTTCCTTCTTTTGCCTGTTCTATAAAAAAATGATCTATTTTTGTTCAAATAGTGTTACCATTATTTTCATCCTGATACTATAATAAACACCCAAATCTTTACCTCTTTTTTCTCTTCAGTTATGCAAAGGCTGCCTTTTGCTTGGAGGAACTCATGATGACTAATCCGCACAACCACTTGTATTGCCAACAGTTTGCAGAAGTGAGTGTTTTAGAATATTAGGAGCAACTAATCTCTAAGGAATGGTCAGTTGGCAAGATACACTATCTTCATAACCTGTTTGTTTGTCCTCTCCTGTGGCTATTCCTTCAATTTCTCCTACCATGATTTCCCATCCTTTCCCCCTATGATGGTGATGGTACGCGTGCCGGAAGTGGCACTCACGCTCATCTTTCCAGGCACGCCAGCCATCGCCCATTATTCTTCTAGGTTCAGGTGGGCACCTGCATGCTGGCCAGCTGGTCTTTGCGCGTGCAGGAGTGGCGGAAACAGGAAGATCCGGTGAGTGGCGCACATGTGCACACTGGAAACCAAAAGCTCAGTTTTCCAGTGGGCACATGCGTACCAAGGAACTGCTCTTCCAGTTTCCGGTGCTCCCGCACATGCACACCAGGTTCAGAAGTCCTTTTTTTAATGAGGCTATCATTATATATATGAGCCGAGGTGGCACAGTGGTTAAATGCAGCACTGCAGGCTACTTCAGCTGACTGCAGTTCTGTAGTTCA